ATTGTTCTGGTCTGGTGACCGCAAAGTGACAGGCACAGTGAATAATGCAAAAAAAAGTGGGCACCAATATACACAAGGCAGCCAGGCTATTATTACAGATCATGGCGGCCAGACCGGTGCTTGATGTTCAGTCTGCTGGAAGCACAAACTGGCTCCACTGTGGTGTGTTCCGCCAGTGTAACCAGTTCAATTACACCTCCTGATTGTGCTTCTGGTGCCCTTATGTGGTTTTTTATAGGGTAGGCTGCCCGTCTCAGTTTACATGTACATTATTTGCATACACCCCCACTGGATGGCAACATATACAATGTACGGTTTGTTTTTTTAGTCAAATTACAAAGGAAACAAAGATTACCACATTCAGAATACGCCTACACATATGACGAATGAAATGTACATTAAAAATCTGCACCAGTTTAAACAATACAATGTATGTAGGTTTATTGAAGACCACGAAAAAAATGCTCAAAATTTACACAGTTTCTTGTGTAAGAAAACAAAAGAGAAAACGACAAAATGAAGGCTGCCATGTCAAAAATGTGAGGTGCTGCATGTTCCTTCTAACGAGCGGTACTTCTTGGCTGACGCCCAAGGAAAAGTGGTGGTTGGCACTGCATGTGTGCATGCGTGCACTGGTACAAGAAATGTCTTTTCCCCCGTTGCCCATTATGCCGGTACATGTGCTTTAAAGTCACTAACTACATGTCCATGTACGTTCGGTACATGTAGGACCTACACAGAGCATATACACAAAGTGCTCTATAGTTCCAAGCATTCCTTCAATAGCAACCTGAGAGAGACACCTGTCATTTCAATGCCCCGCATGAATGTTCAGATTATGTACATGTGCATGTACTGAGCCTAGTATAGTCATCCATTTTGTGGACCAGTACATAGGCAAACTTACAGAAAATACTATTTATCCTCGCAATGTGAGCACTTTTCAGCTGGATTTTGTTGGTCTCCTCGACTGTTATTTGTTTCGCAGAAGCCCTAACCCAAATATAACTGTTTCTGAAAGCGGGGGGGCGAGGAATCCTGTGTGGACCAGGATTAGTCCACATGAGGTTCCATGACCTGCATTACTGTGGCAAGGTTGAGACACCCAGCTTTGTCCATGTTGAAAATAGGCAACGGTCATGCACACTCTATGCCATGAAAACCAGTGCACATGTATATACATCACTTGTACATGTACACTCGTGTGTCCAAATACTTGTACTCTGGTGACCGAGTTGATACATGTACCTTCTGCTATCAATGCACTGGGAAAACATACTTGAAATTCATCCTTGGCTCTTTATTAATACTTCCAAATGGAAATATGAGAGATGCTGGAACTTCTGAAGCTGTACAATCTGTGCCTACCAGGACAACTTCTTGCAAGGGATAGCTTTGGACTGCCGCTTCTGTGACAACCAAGTCCATCGATGGAACAGCAAAGAGGCATTGCCCAGGCTACTGTCTGGTGCTTGCTCGCGTCCTTAATGCGTAATCTGGAGGGGAAGCCTTCGTCATATTAATTTGATCCGAGATGATCCATCATACGTAAACGCCTGGCACTGGCTGAGCTGCTCATGCTGATAAAGTGCAAACTGCGTTTCTGAAAAAGGCATTCAAATGTATTGTGGGCCCACTGATCCTCAGAAGGGTGTTTATGGGACTCTCCAAAGCACAGTATGAGAAACATGACATTTGTGTACCATTCTGCATTCGAATTTACACTAGCAAATTAATCAGTGCCTCACAGATGTTCCAGTTAATTCTTAACGAATAAAGACTAAGCCCCTTCCCAATCCTCAATGTAAAAAAGTACAAATTGATGAATTATACTACTCGAAGTAGATCTATCGAAACTACCGACAGGGAAATTGACAGAGCTGTTTCTTGTAATGCGCACTGCACACTACTTTGTTGCAGGGCCTGGAAGAAAAATAAAGTACCTATCTCACAAGGAAGTTTTTTAGGGGTGTGCAAACCAATTCCCAGACAAAGAGACGGCCTCTCACTAAAGATAGCAGATTATCCTTATCCCAAAGCATTCCATCGGGTAAACTCTTAAGATGTCGCATACATGCCTTGCCAAATTTCTGACATGATTACTGACGAGTGGACATTTTTCAGGGAATAAATTCCTCCCCTCTCTTGACTTGGATATCTTTTGCTCGTCGGAATCAAGTTTGAATTGCTACTACACTTGTCTCATCATCTCGCAGCTAAAGGCCAACAATAACGTAGCTTAGGAGGCACAAGCTTCCCCCGGCTGTTATTGCTCTTCCTGGGTCATTTCCCCGTCTCCAGCTACATTTGAGTCGTCCGGCTCCTTTCTTGCGTTTCAAGATTTGCAACATCTGTGAAAGTTTAGGCCAGACCTTGGACGCCTTGATTAGCATCCCATACACACAGTGCCAAGCTGCGAATTCTCCTCTCTGATGATGATTCTCTGGATGACATCATCGTCTATCAATGCAGCACCAAAAGGACAGTGACCCTGCCAATGGGCAGCCAAGCATGGGCTAACAAATGAACATCGCCAGGGCTGATGTATGGGCTGCTGGCCAGTTCCCCTGCTACTTTCCCGGGGTCCCACCGAGGATGTGGGCTAATATACAGCCACATATGCACATACATTACCGGGAGGTACACATGTCGTTTGGCTAATAGTCTTAATAGGCTGCGGCTGAGGAAGAGTGCAGGTTGGGTTCAAGCAATTGGAACATTTCAGCCGGCCAGAGCGGCTACTTAGGGACAGGAAAAAATAAGGCTGCAGTTTGGGGACAGATTTGAGAGTCCTAAAACCAATGGTTGAACAGGAACAGCATACTGGGCAATTGCCAAGTCATCACCACAATACAAACGCATGGCAGCCAAAATATACAAGTATTGTTGGAATTCTAGTTGTTATATTTACTTGAATTTTATTTCTACCTGTTACTGCATTTTGATAAGAAAGGAAAACAAAAGACCCACTAAGGAAATTGATTTTTTAAAAAAATGAAAATGTGCAAAATAAACAAGCAAAAAAAAAGATATTACGGTCAGTCTTTTATGGTTGATCCATTGGGATTTATCTGCTCTATGAGCACAAAAAGGTTTCTGTTCAGAAAGAACAAACTGGTTCTTGTCAAAGAACAATTCATAATATACTTGATGGCAGTCCCATGGTTTTTTTTTTTTTTTTTTACCCAACCACGGATTTCACGGAAAATTATGCAAATTTCTGCCAGAGGAAAAGGACCCAAGATATGTATCAAATCAATGCACAATTTACTACGGAGGTCATTTACCAGAATCCCTGTGCAATGTACGTTTTCAAGGTTTTTTTTACAAAGTGACTGAGCCTCCACACTTCCACACTTAACCTCCCCATCAGTGCAACGCCAAATAATTTATCGAGTCCAGATTTGAGTTTTTCTCAGGTTTCCAGGTTGTCATTAGGGAGCGTGTTGCATTACACCACAGACTTAGCAGAGGAAGACTAAAAGCTACATCATGATTACCTGCATTTGCAATTCCGACACTTTCATTTCTAGGATGAAAAGCCAGACGCGCTTTCTTTCTGATTTTTTTTTTTTCCTGTCTGGGAGAAAAATCATCTCGAAGAGGATTCCATAATCTATGACTTGCAGCTGTTGGGTAAATGAACTTTTGAAGGGCTTCTATTTTCACATAAAGAGGTCATTGGTTTCGTACCAATTCATGCATTAAACCTCCGATGGTGAGTGTCATATTTTTCCTATCACACGACCAGCCCTTTCATATTTTCGAATGTGATGGGATTTGAAGTGCTAATCAGATTCATTCACGGTGTTAATGCAGGGGTCGATCCTGAGGGACCAAACAAAGCGCATGATTACAGTAACGCATGGTACTGGGTCTTCCTGTCGCCCCAAAGTTTATCGCACAAGCCCTGAACCTACTCCAAAAACCTACTTCAAAGAGAATCAATTCACAGAGTTTGAACTTTTAATGCATGGGCGCTACTTTACAGGGAATGAAAATGCCTTTATGTAACTTACTGACAAGACAATGCTTTCATATTTTTAAGCAAAAACAGCAAAGCATTACAAACAGTACTCAAAAAAATCCCACACTTGGCCCAGGAGATAAAGCAAGGAACCAACTCAAGTATGAAAACCGACACAAAGCAAAATCCACCTCTGACAAGTTTCCTTCAAAGAACAACATTTTCAATTGCAGCCCTCCCTCCCCATTTGTTGCTACTCCCTCTGATTCTGGGCAATGCGCATTTTGCCTTTACTTTCTATTCAATCATACGACTCTCTCCTCCCACCACAAATGACTTGCACCTGACCGAAAGAACGCTCAGATACCATACATAAAAAGCTTAGGGCGACAGAGTTTCTTTGGACGCAGCCAGCGAAGACTCCAGTGTAAACAAGGGGATGATGTCATGGCCACTGACCAATCAACAATGCCCGTACATGTGTATCATCTCCGAGATAAATGGCAAGGAAGCTCCACTTGGGAGCCTGGCTGTTAACGATTCACACCAATCGTAGAGTATCACTTCAAACTTGTACGTGTTCATTCAGAATTGTAACATCCTGGTGATCACGCCAGTAGCAGAAAAGCTGAAAGGTTTCGCATTTCTATTCCCCACAAAGACTCTCGAATAGCCTATCAACAAAAATACTTTGGAACAGACAACTACGGTCAGGGGAAAACTATTTTTAATTTGCGTGGGACTGTCACTATCGTACAAGCAACTGCTTTCATTTTGAACAGTGTACTAATCTGGTGTCGAAATCAGACACACTTTAAATACTGCATTCTTTCAAGAAAATAAAAAAAACAGTTTTCTGTACACATGTACAAGTATAAAGTTTACTTTCACATACTTTTTAATACATGTTTATAAACCACAAGGGTTGTATTCATAGATTTTATTCAGTTAAAAATGAAATTTCCTCGAGTCAACATGATTTACATTGTAAACCAATAACTTTTGGGGGAAAGAAAATGAGAATGTGTCTTACCTTGGGTGGTGACCTTTTAGGAAAAGCAACCTTGGGGTCAATCTGAAGCAGCAACAAGGAGGGAAAAACAAAACAAAACAAAAAACAAAAGCATGAGATTAGATAAATAAATCAACCAGCCGTTTTCACCCAGCAACAATACCTTGGGCGCCAAAGAGAAGGAAATGTCACATCCAATGAAAAACAGAGCCGATGGGAAAAAACCATTCAGTCCCAATACCTCGACCTTGTTTGACCAGGCCCAGTTCCCATGCAGACAGACAGTGTCTGCCCCTATAGAAATACTATGCTTACAAGCACTGGCCACCATTCACTTGGGGGGCATGGAAGTACACTCTTTGATCAAACAGTTCAAATCAAATCCTAGAAGCCGGCAAGTGTGCACACATGTCTGTGCGCGGATAGAACAACAGAAGGCTTCAAATTTACTGTTTGTGACACAAACTATGTGCGACTTGAAAAACTAGATTGTGTACAACTGTATGAAAAACCATATGTACATGTACATTGTATATATACCGGGATCAAGTGGTTTAACTATTGGATGGCCCATTGAAATATCATCTTTCTTTTTAGAAGACATGGCTACCATCCGAAAATAAAGCTGTTATTATTTAAATTATTATAACATCCACCGGTGTACTTCTTAATTCACCCTTTTCCATTTTTTACCTCCACTTCGTATTCACTTCTGGTGGAAAATGCTCCTATTTGCGTACGATGCATGCCGTCACTGTCATAACAATTACCCACCATGTCATATGCGACACTCCGGGTAGGGGACATTCCGAGGGAACAGAGTGCAAAACCAATTTTCGAGATGTCACCCAACGGTGCCGAGGTAATTCATAGCTGGACATTCCTCATGCCATTGTAAGTGGGTGCCTTCAACTCGGGCCCATGGATCCATGTGTGGAATGGCGTGGAGCATGGAATGGAGGCATTATGTGCTCAGCATAAAGGGACGGTTGCCTTCAGGGGGAGTTTCGGACAGCCCGTGCCAGGACATGGGCGGGCAGTTCGAGGATGCAAGGATGGTATAAATGCCTCCAAAAAGATTTTAAAAAACCCTGATCAAATTTACAACAAAACTGGCTGTGGCGAGTCAACGACCTTCCCACGGCAAAACACGGTGGCAATTTCACGACTGGAATAGTCTGATTCCTCCAGCCTGGTGATTGCTATTCTGTTACAAGTCCACAGCACCAGTAAGGTGACCATACAATTAAGAGTGTGAGTGTGCATATATATGCAAATACCATTTTTATAGCTGTCGGCACTACCGATTAATCAATCTATTTGAAGCCTCGAAGTGATTATTCTAGCTCACTTCCTTTATACCAGTCTGTTCATCACATAAAAGAATCATCACACCTTTAAACGTGATCCTTTGTACATGAACAAGTACAAAGTATGGGGAAAAAAAACAAACTTTTTGTAACCATATGTTTGGTCAAGAATTTATGATTGTGTCTGAATCGACGACATGTACCGTAAGCTGTGGCTGGTTCAGGTACATACGGGCACAGGTAGTAACACAACAGAGAGGAGCTGCAGTTCCTAGCCAAAGGCTAGCACGCAACTGCCACAACCACTTTTGGGTGTTGCCTTTGTCTGACTTCAAGCAACTGGCCAGGCCGAAAAAAAAAAAATCAGTCTGGCAACACAGACGGTACGGTTAGTGGGTACTGCCACCATGTTGGTGTTAAGCAGTTATTGTTTGCATATGGCTGGCACGTAACGATCACGTCCATGTACATTTTTACCACGTGGGTATTTGCACAAATGCATCGTAGTAACTACATGCAAGTTCCTTCGTCTTGGTCATCTTCCAGTTGGGTAAAACAGCACAGGAGATTTTACCGAGGATCCTTTAAAATGTCTTTTTTCCTTACAGCTCTGTTTATTCATATTCATGCAGGAAATACTCGCAGACACCCCAACAAAGTGCCCAATAGCAGAGGTCAGGTTCCTGAAACTCAAGTACGTGTACGAGCTTGGTGCTATGTCTCTCCACCAATGTTTATGAATGACATTAAGTTGTAATCCATTTACTTCAAACAGCTACGGGAGTTCCCAGTTTCATATGCTGCTTGTCATTGTTTCCCGGTAATTTAGAAACGACTTTACTCTTTCAGTTTTGATTATCACTTATAAAAAAGTGGAAACAAAAATCAACACATTTACAATGTCTGTGAAGTTGAATGGAAGTTATTCACATGTGGGTGGTGTTGTATCTTTTCACAGAAGCAACCTGGGACCCAATATCATTTCTTGTCACGCAGTCCTATGCTATAATGTTTCACATTCATGGATTATTACTATACTGAGACCTGTGCTGAATTTTATTTCTCAACATCAAGTACGTATATGTGCACTGTTTGCTTAAATGCACATGTGTAAACTGCAGCACCTTTCAATGTTTTCTTTTCATTATCATTATTATTATTGTTATTGGCAATGTTTTATTTAACGTTGATCAATTATTGTTTCCTCATGTCATTTATTCCCTGTCTGCAAATTTGTTCCCTGTCTGGGAATTTAATTACAACCCCATTGATGTCTTCTTCGATCAGCCGACAAGAAAGGCCTTGACAGCCAAGAACGCGTTGCGCTGTTCACACCAAGTTCCATCACGACTCTTTAACAAAAATATGGGGTGACGTTCTTCCGCGACACACGGTAACTGCACTATGGGTAGTATTATCTCCAATTTCTCACAACTGGAGATCCTACAGTTCTTCAAAATGACAAGTGATGTATTCCATTCAAATTTTTATGGACTGTACAAACAACTAAGTTGAAGGGAGAATACAGACGAAATGCAACGTGTGCCCCATTTCAATGTCTCTCATTCACAACGAGTAAAGTCCACTGTGAAACAGTGGAACAAAACATTTGGCTGCAAACTGTAACACATTTGGAACTCGATTTCTTGAGAATATGAAGCAATTTCAAAAGTCTGGAACAGTACCAATTTGGAACTCTCCTGTAAACTTCGGTTACAATGCCTCAAACAACTGGGGTATTTGGTGGGAGCCATCCAGAGTCAACGAATCCACTGCTGTGCAGTAACCAACCTTGTGCAAATTCTTGCAAAAATCTGAAATCTTATGCAAAATCTGAATCCTTTCCAATCCTCCCCCAAACTAATCGTGCTATTTTGAAGACATGTACTAACTACATGTTGCTGGGGTTCCTGCCATATCATCGTCTGAATGATAATCCACACAAAAACAACAATTCTCTGAGAAAAAAAAGCATGACTATCCACTCAGACCAGTGAATTTTCTTCATATCAAATGTAGTTCCTAATGTGTTCAGATTTAATTGTCTGTATCATGATGACACGGCATGTGGTTTAAAACGAGACATTCTTGGCTATGGTGACTATTCTAATTATTTCCAAAATAAACATTTTCATGGTTGCCCTCCCGCATCCATGATTATAGGAATTCATTTTCGGATGTAAAATGTTATTCCTAATAACAGGACAATATAAAAAAAGATTTCATGTACATAAATGTATAAATGGGATAAAAATCTACGTTGTTTTTACTTTCTTTTCCATCTTTTCTTTTTTCTTCCCTCTTATTTTAAATTCTGAAATACAACACAGCTTACATATTTTTTTTCAAGGTCACTGCAATCAATAGCAACAATGACAAACAATTCTCCTGACAGTCCAACCCCATCCGCTCTACACACCGCTAATGGGATCTATGGGCTGGACTCTCGGTGTACATGTTAACTTGCATCAAGCCCTGCATCTTTGCACCCATTATCCACACCGATAAAAGATCTGCCCAGGTCGGGCACACTGCGGCCATTCTCTCCTCCCATTCACAACCCACTGAAAAACCCCTGGCCTCAACTGGCAATTCTAATTTGTCGCCGAATTACCGTGCCAAACACAGCAATACTGGCCCTGCCAAAATTAACAAATCTTTAAAGGAACAGTCCCAACTCGGATATCCAAGCATGCAGGTGAACAGAACAAGCCAACGCCAATTCCTCCTTTAAAAAGCCCCTTCAACCACACCCAATGGTTATTCCCGTCCCAGTCCAGCGAGCACGTGAAGAACGGGACAATGGGGTGTTGGTACAGGGTGACCCCCATGCTCTGCAGTTTCACTTCAAAGTCCTTCGATGTGCATACAATGCAACCGGGTACAAATAAACCATGGGAAAACACCCACCACCGACAAATGTACATGTACGTCATTGGCAAGGGGGGGGGACCATTGAGACAACACAGTAACATTCGGGTGGGTATTGTTGTGTTCTCTGCCGTGTCTGGAAATACGGTGACATGCATACACGTAGTTCAGACCAGACAGTCTTTGACTGGATCTGATAAAGGCATGGGTGTTTGTCAGAGAAACGGAAAGGGAGGACAACGGCACAATGAGGAGAGGGCTGGAGGAGAGACAAGTGGGTGCTTTGCAGCCGTGATGGGCGAGAGACAGGGGTGTGAAGAATAAAGAGGGCCGGGCCAGGGAAATTTGAGGGCCGGGCCAAGGATTTCTTCCAACAGAAATTGCCAACAAGGGAGGGGAAAATAAATACAAAAGAGGCGACCCACTGAACTTGGAAGGAAATATTCAAAACTTACACAATTCTGGGATGTGTTTGGGGCATTTGAAATAATATGCTGATTGTTGCTTTTTTCGTACCAACTACATGTACACATTGAGAAAAGGAAAAACTTGGACAATCTGCACAAAGTGCAAAAATAGCATGAAGGCCCTCCGCTCAGTTACACGGATTTGTTGAGCGCAGGTATCTGTCTACACCGATCTCATTTCTGGACCAGAATATCAAGTTTGACACTGTCAAAGAAGGTCTGGTTTCCTGAGAGCACAACACGGTGCACAGGTCAGAGTTTGAGTGGACAATTCAGAATCTGTGTGGACTCAATGTACTGAAAGCTGGACAGAACTGCAGGAGATTACGGTGCCCCAAACTGGTCAAACATCTAACAGGATTTATCTTTTAACAAAATAACAAACAACATTTTTAGGAGACACCTAGATGCTTCTTCAGCCAGAGCTATGGCAGGCATGGCACAAAGTCCACCCACGAGGCAAGGCTGGATAAGAATGGACTACTTGGATTGTGGGTCTGTTTACACTGCAATTTGGGAGCCTATCAAGCTCCTATAGTTTCATGGTAAGGTGTGTCCAACCAGGTGCACACTTTTTAAGTAGGGCAGGTTTTGACCAAAATGGTGGCCAGAGAGTTAACAGGAACAAGTTATCCAAATGCAAAAACGTTCAAAGCCTACCTTTTTACTGTCTACTTCGTGGCGCTCTGTTTTAAGCACTTTCTCTACGCACTTGGGATCCCCAAAAGTCACGAATCCAAAGCCCCTGGAGAGGCAAACAAAAACATGTGAATCACACCAGTTGTCGAAACCCATTGCCCTGCTGTGCCTAACTAGACACTAAATCCTGCCCCCCCCGATACAACACTGAGATTCGACAGACAAATGGCACACTACATGTACTATTTATAACAACCAACATGAACGTTACAAACTTACACACAATAATGTGCAACAAGGGTTTAACGGGCAATTCAGTTACTTCACCATGATTTCATGTCACATTAACCACAATCTACTACGCGGTGAATTCCATCAACCCAAATCCCTAGGTATTCTTATATTATAGGGATCTGTCCCCCCCTCCCAAAAAGAAGAAAAAGTGAAACACTGTGTATAAACCAGGCTTACATGACCGTGCAATAAGTAAACAGAGTCCATTTCACTTATGGAATTGCACTTGACTACAATGAGATACATGTGCCTATCTGATGCTGACTGTAACTCCTTGCGGCAGCAGCACCAACTCTGACCACGGTTCAACCAATGGCCAATTCAGGGAAGAGTCACAGTGATTTCAAGCTTTTGACATAGCATGCAATGCATCGTGTACCAAGGCCAAATGATTTGGTTCGTCAGTGAAAAGTGCAAGTTCGAAGCTAATGCACCAGGCCTATGCCAATTATTTGGATATTTGGTGATCCAATTAATCAAGGAAATTTTCAAAAGGCGCCGATTCAACCATGTCTCCAGGTTTTACGAGTAAACTTCATGACAAATAAATACATATGGCCAAAAATAACTTTTCCTTCAAGTGTTTCCCCTTTTTAACTTTTCATAAAGCATGTATAGAAAGTCTTCTGTTTTTGTGGGAATTTGGTACATGCATCCAAATATTTAATATTTTATCGATCGGCAAGTTGAATAGTCAAATAATTCAATTATTCAAATCATCTCACCCTCAAAATTCACTCCATGGAATTCACTTCATTTGTAGGCTTTTACTGAGGTTTACATCCTTAACTTATTTCTCCATCCCACCAATCCCCTAGAAATTTGGAGTCCATTCCAAACCGACTCATGACTTCCCAAGAGAGTCAAAGTCGATTTCAAAATGTTGGAGTCATCACCGAAGCCTAATGTCAATTCAGGGGCACTCAGGTTCATGCACAGGCAATGCCATTTGGGCTTAAGATGCAATCGCCAACCCATCAGAGCGCAGGAAATCCATGTGGTACACTTTGAATAAATCAAAGTAGAGTTGGTAACCACTTCAACATTGTGAAGCGTTAATTAACGACAGCAGCCACTAAACACCAGGCTCAGGCATGGCCAAAAATGTACCTGTCGGTACAAATTACATTGTCTGTCCTTGAAAAAATCCTGCACAGTGTACCACAGTGGCCCAATCTGACATTGGGTGTTCCAAACCATCAAAATTGAGAAGAAAAACATAATCAGCTCACAGACAAACCAAGGAGTCTTTATATACACTGATGCATCCCTTTGGATAAAACCATATTAGTATGTAATATACATGTAGGGAATGGTTACTGATATCAAAACAGCAAGCGTAATCGGTACATAATACTTTTACACCTGACCCGCATCCCAAAAAACACCTCAGGGATTCTGTTTTGCGAGATAAAGAAGGAGACAAACACTCAGAGATACGGATGTCACTTGGAGATTATATTTTTCTCCCTCTGTTTTTTTTTTTTTATGTTTCCTCACCGTGACTTTTTTGAGTTAGGATCCCGCATGATAACGCACTCCTTGATCTCTCCATACTTGCGAAAGTATTCCCTTAGGCTGTCTGGAAGATTCAAAGACAAAAAACAAGCAGGATTCACGTTACTCTGGGTCAAACAAGTTTACAGTTAACATCATAAACAAACCCACATGAGAATTACACAGCAGAGAGAATGGTAGAAAGTACTAAGACAAAACCAGGATTTTGTGAGAGAATTTCTCTGTATTTGTAAAGGAAAGTATTCAGGTAGATGTACGTTTGTAACATTTAGTGGAAAATACCATTGACATGAGAGATGACACAAGACACTGAACAAAAATTATACATTAAATCGTTTATCACAGTTCTGTGATTCAGTCTTACTAGCGAGGCTTAAAACCAAATCAACTAATCCTATATTTATATCTGGCTTGAACCTTCTACTTTCTAATTAAATCGTGAAATTGATGCATTCATATTATTTTTTATTGCCAGGATTAGCCTCGCGACAATGGTCGACGTCTGCCCAAAGGGCTTGGAGGGTATTATACACCAGATGGCACTACGGTAGACCCTGGCGCCAACATCCATCCACCAAGTCCATAGGAATCAACCCAGCAAGGAAAAAAATGTATTAAGTCATGTATTCTTAGGGTTCTTATTTCTTCCCCTTTTTTTCCTTTTTTTTTCTTTTCCTCAACCTCGATGAAAAGGGCGAACGACCATGACACGTTTGCTGCTTGTTTGATGTGTACGGCCACATCAACTGAAATTCATCCCTTTAAAGGTACAGTCCATCATTTGCAGTTATCCGAAGAGTAAATAAAACGATTATTGTTGACAAGCGCACTTGGTTTAGAGATGGTTATGGGACTAAACTGCCCGTGAAATTGTTGCCTTTGGTGTGCTTTCATTTTCAGGAAAACAAGACCACTTCCAATGATGCGTCTAAAGAATTCCTTTTTGGAAAATTGTCATTAAAAACGAGGGCAAGTACTGGCAACAAACACACACACACATGGTTACTATAATTTGTCGGTTCAGTGTGCAATATCGCGCAGCTGCACTTGAACAAACTTGAGAATGTGGTCTCAGATGCTGCATTCAGGCAAAATTTATTCAAAACATGACTCAGCAACTTTTCATCTGAAATCAAATCCTGGAAAATAGTTTTTCTCGGACTGTATGGTGGTATTTGCTAGGCTGAAACTTCACTGGGATCATTAGGCCACTTAAAAAAGAAATTGTTTCGCATCAGTTGTATTTGAAACAAGTGAGGAGGGAGGATTTTTTTTTTTTTGGTATGCATGCTGATCTGGACTCCCGCAAGAATAAAAGCGCCATGTTCACTTCAGACTGACAGACTCGTGCACTGAAGTGCACATGACATTGTGTGTATGTACTCAGGTCACATGTTTGCGTGCAAGAGGTTGTGTGGGCACTGAGGGAACTATGGGGGACAGCTAAGGACATCGGAAAAGACAACTTTTAAAGAACAACAAATCATGCGACAAGGCGTTTTGAGGCAGGCGCTGATGCTAAACTAATTAGTTTTTTATGTGGCCTTATTACGCACCATTCTTCATATTTTTGTTGCCTCAAAAGGAAAATATTGCACACATGACGGACTGTACCTTTAAAATAACAGTTGTGGACTCGTGAGGACAGGGAATTGTGGAGAAGATTGTGACACAAAGGAGCTTCAATTTTGGCAAACTGATCCCTCCGTCTGCATGAATGTATCTCAATATGAAATCTGTAAGCCACCCTTCTCTTTGCCTTCTCTTTGCAGTCACTTGTACCCCCCGTGTGTTCTTTCAATTACGATTTGCCTGGAAAGGGAAGACCTTATGAATTACTTATGAAGCCAAACTGCGAGTGTCTCACCGGTTCTTCTTTTTTTTCTCTCTCTGTCTTCTCTTTTTATTCTCTACAAATAACCTCAATGGGATTATGCAAACCCGAGCTGGAAGAGCAACTGTCATAAATCAGGCTGCGCGACGGCTGAAATGTTCTTCAGCTAGCATGTCTCTAGGACCAAAAACCAGGCAAGTGCTTCAGAATGACGCCTTACTTGTAAATCAGTTTACTGCATTACACACCTTCTGTAAAAATGCCGTATAATTTACTGACTTACTTAATGCATGGTGTACAAACACGAACAGCCAACATGAATTTTATCTCTCTGAAAAATGTGAAAGACTACCTGCAGACCTCTTTTTGTTTTTAACGCTCTATATAAATAATGTAGACATGTGGTAACGAATCTACGACTAGCTCCTTGTTAATGAGGCTTTCTATATGTGTTCCATCTTTTCAGGTCAATTTTTTCTTATTAACAGATAATTTATTCAATTACTCCAAAGTTTAAACTGGCCTTGCAGCTTTGGTAGAAATTTACGATTTGGGGTTTTTTCCATACTGAAGGTGTGACAACATCTAGCAAATAAAATGCAAATTCATCTTCAAGGAATTTCTTCAAGTGACCTTTGATACTTCCCGCCTTGCTCAAATATCAGAAAACTGGCAGCAAGGAGGACTTGCTACGTGATCTCACAAGCCCAAATGACACTGTTCGAACAGTGCTTATGCACAAGCAGATGCACTCAATAGTCTCAGCTACACATGTCAATGTGCACTGCCCTTTGCTAACAACGCAGGTGCACACTTGGGGCCAGTGCACAGCCCCACTGGCAATGCAACGCCTTGCTATCCAAGGACCAAGGGACAAACAAAAGGGGATCAAGGCCATGATAATGCTGTTTTTTAAGCCAGGTAGTCATGTGTGTGCTTAGACATGTGGGTGCAAACACTGGGGAAGAAACAGCAATGTGCAGTGCATGGCCCCTACCAGATTGACCATGGACATTAATACACCAGTTTAACCATGAAGGTTGAAGTGCAAATTTGACAAGGGGGAAACTAAACGGAGCCAAGGCGACCGATGGCGTGTAAAGGAATAAAAATGTGGAGAAAGGAGGTCACCTTCGATAGTAACTTCAATATGTCTCATGGCTTTGTGTCGGACTGGCTTGACATGAATACGTTACTTAACTCACAACTTGTAATGTGTTGGTATAGGACTTCCTCCCATAAAGCCATTGCAGTAATTAAAATCAGTGACCTGAATGATATGTCTGCTGGCACACGTAACCGTGCAGGAGTTTTTCCCCTCGTCAGTGTCTCTCAGGTTTTTTTTTTTCCGATCAAGGTTGTGCATGCATCGATATACGGCGGAGCCAAGTGGCCGGTATTGTGAGAAGAATTGCAATATCGTGCCCAACCGCCTGGCCTGGCCAGAGTCGCCTCGGGCTAAGGCAGGGAGAAATGTAGGACAGCCGTGGGCGCCGGCACAGCCTGCACCTTGCGCCAGTAGGGCTGGCACCTTGTCCTATCCTGCTTGACATTCAAACGTGTTACAGGCATCCTTGTCATGTAAATGCAGAAACCATCTCACTCTTTCTACATGAGCGTGGATTGTGGATGTGCGTGTCCGCACTCCTCTTGTCAAATGCCATCAGTCCCCAACCTAAATCCTTGCGTGCAACAGCATAGCAATATTCATTCCGCTTCATATTTGCCATCTTTGTGTCATAACAACTTCACAGATGAAACACCGCGTGAAACACCGATGATCACAGCAAAGTCCTCCAGGACAGTCTGCAGTTTCCTCTCATGTGGACATTCCATTTGTGGGCGAACGTGTTCTCGGTCATCCGAATATGTGTATAAATGGTCGATTTGTCGGTTTGTTATCTCCCACAAAAGATCAAATGAAGTAGTCAGGGCAATTCAATTCACACGTACATGTCCAGTATTTTGGGCTCCACTTGTGTTGACAATCCTCGTGCCTCCTGATGGCTGCATGGACATGCTGACCACAACGGTCACATTTTGTTGTTAAGTTTACATTTTCGGTTGTCCAGCATGCATGTAAACTTTGAACTTACATGTTCAATCTATAAATCCTCTGGCACTGGCAGCTGACCTATGACCTTTCCCTATATTTAGGGGTTCACGTTCATCTCATGTTTTGTGGCTGAATTAACATGATTAATGTGGTTACTGAATCGATTTACTTCATGGCAAAATAACAACTGTAACAAAAATATCTAGAGGACACAGATGTTTCTTCATAACATGTGGAAAACTACAATATCTGGAAATGTGGAAAAAAAACTCACCTGTCTCTGTCTGCCAACTCAGCCCTCCTATAAACATTTTCCTGTCAGACAAAAAAATACACCAAAGAGAAATTGAGGTGTAAACACTGTAAAGGAACCTCTTCATGTATATCCAAGGTCGACAGAAAAATATCACACGAGAAAAAAAAACTGGCGAGGCAATATAACAACGCTGGCTGACCCGTACAATCATGTACAACACGCACATAAGAACCTGTCCATGGGATTTGCGTGATGAAAGATCCCGTTCCATTGTGCTGCTCACACACGAGGAAGGATGCAGTACATGCCCTGCATGCACCGCAGCACAGCTGATCGCCCCACTAGACATCGCGAGCATTTTCCCCCACCGAATTGAAGCCCCGAAAACACCCCTCTCCGGGCACTCTTACTCACCCAGGATCGTTGGCCACCTCCGTCCCGTGTACGGTGGAATTCTGGTTGTTTCCTGCGTCCATATTTTTTTGGTGTTTTTAAATTATATCTTAAAATCTACGCTACTAAAAACTGAACTAACAGGTAATGTTGATGACTACAGTATAGTGAAATGTGTGTGGTAATACACACGCGCTGGCTATGCTATAGCTGCGGATAATACACGACGGTACGGTGTGGTAAATGTCCGTGTGTGCGGTTTTACGCTAGGCCACTATAGTAATAATACACACACAACCTGTACACCGCGCCAATATCACAACTCTACACGTGGGGCAATGGGCCCATGCACATACGACACACACCACGCGCGCTATGTGCACAACGGCATGGCCCAGCATGGGTGGCGCTATAACCGCTTTGTCAACACCAACCTGAATGAATGACCAGTGACTGACAGCCGTATCGGCGATTTGATTGGCCGTCCCTTCCCCTCCAGTCCTAGCCGGTCACTCAGCGGTCACTGCCGTGACCCCCCGATGACGTATGCCAGTGTTGATATTAAATTATGCATATCGGACACACCTTTATTTTTTGTTCGTGTTATCCTGTTCTTAAAATACATTTCCTCTTGAAGCGTTGTTAGGTAATTGTTTGGTTTTTTTTATACTGCCAGAGTCAGTCACGTCACCCCAGTGGTATTGTTTGATCAGTGATTTTTTTCCCTGCCTGTGTTTATCGGTTAAACTTTGCATAGCTCAATTATGTCAAAGATGTACTACCCTTTTTTCTTTTGGGTTAAGTAATTGGTATGTCTTTCGTGAACGTTTTGACGTTTCTAATAGCATTGTCATTGTGCGCTTTTCCACAATTATACTACATAATTTAATTCAAGGGCTGATCCGCGGGCGCAATGGCGTCCGAACCCCCCCCAAAAAAGAGGAATCGTCCTTGATTATATTTATGTCAAAACTACCAGGAATCTTTCCTTTCCAGGTCATCAATACAGATCAAATCGAATAAATACTTGTTTCAGCTTGTTTTATCGTTGGGTTTGATGATTCTTTACAATACTAACAATATATTTTCCGGTAAACTATAAAGAAAAGCCCCCCGAATAATTGTTGTTTTCGGGGCCTTAACAAACATAAATAGCTGCCGAATGGGATATTCCCTGCCTTTTTCGGGCAAAGTTTGTAGTTTTGTGTTTGTTTCAGATTGCTTTGATTCGATCCCTTAACTGGAACCTTCAACTCGGATGGATCAATCCGCGTTTATAATGACAACTAATTTTAGTGAATAAATTAATAATGAAAATCTATACATTAGCGAGCAAAATTCAACTACCGCCCCCCCCCCCGGAAAAGAGGAAAAACCAGTAGATCCGGAAGCGCTATGTAGACCTACTGGCCTTCCAATTATTTTAAGTTTTTAAGAGGGCAAATTAATGACTTTACTAATACTTCGTGTTTTGTTTTTTCCTCGACCTGGCTAATTGTACCACCAGAAATGCAGGAACCAAATCTTCCACACTGTTTTCGAGTTCCGTTCTTCACAGGACTCAATCGGTCAATTCATTAGCCATCGATTGGATTAACCTCGGGTCTTTGAACACAGTTCAGATTATTGATCGGTCAATGGGAAAACCAGTCTGCAAATCACACTTCCCTTGTTGACAATCGAACCCATAGCCTTTTGCTTAATAGCACAAATAGGACCACGATAAGATTTTCTCCCTCCGTACGTCTGTAATTGTGCGTTGTGTTTCCAGAGTAATGTTAATTTCACTTTCATTTATACCGTGGTGTACTATACCCAAATGCGATGTTAACAGATTATTGTCGCGGCGACGCGACGCCCTCTCACCTACTGCCATCAACATTTTATTTTGTCATCCTCGAATACATCCCTTTCTGATAACTTTTATCAACTTTCTTTGTAAATCAATCTTTAAATGGACTTTGTGAACTTTCTTCCCTTCCGCAAACCGATGTAGGCTTTCCCCTTGACACTGGTTGGTGTGGGGAATCTATCTGTTCGTGTGACGTGTCAGGCATAACGCCTGTAGGCCTGTATTATTTCGCAAGGTAAAAAGAAACGTCTCTTGGCGCAAGCTTACTTGTTGCCAACAGGAACGCCAAGGATGGTCTTCGAACGGCAGCGAACATCTCGTTCAACTGGACCTCGATGCATGCCATCTTTCCTGAGGCCCACATGAACATAACCGAAAATTGTGGATCAATCCAGCTGGATATCTCCAACAATTAAAGCGAACAAGTTGCTCCATTGCAAAGTTCATCTCCGAAATGGAGCATGGCCGACGCACCTATGGTTGCAATTACGAGAACGCTTCGGGGGCAACGTCCAGCCAGGACCCAGGCGAGGGGGCAAAGACCTGCCATCCACCCGGGGAACCATCCCCGGCTGATCCGCCGGCGAGAACATTAATGATTCCTGCCGATGAAGGAGGGTCAAAATTAATCAGGAATGACGTCTGCTGAACCGTTGACAGCTTAGTCATAGCGGTTCGAATTGGCGTTATTGCACTCCTAGTACGCATGAACTATTGTTAAAATCGTGCACCGGCTTACCCAACGAAAACACTGTCTCCACGGTATACGGGCAGATTGAGATTGGCGTGTCATTTTTCAATTCCCCGTGAAATTTTTTAACATATCCGGCTAAGTATACTGTTGAGATACTGGAAGTGTTGCTGGAGTCACGTCGTCTATCTCCAAATTGACGAGTATTTCACAAGAACCCAGTGTATCAGATATTGCAGAGGTGCACGACAATTGCCGAAGGCTAGGCACGACGATCGAGCATGCTTAAGTTTAATTAAACCCGTCCAAACTGTGCCATATTTACGCTATTTCATTCGTGAATTCTTGATTCAAATCTTGTATTATGCTATGAAACATCAGTCGCCCTTACCTTTATAGTAACCACACTTGAGAGATGTTTTCGAAGTCCCTCTTCAACTTAGTGGGGTATGTCTGGTCGACAAACCCGCCCCAGTATGACGGCGCCTCCATCGCATATTTACAATCGACACAAGAAAGACTTGGATTGTAAAAACATTAACCAGAGAATGGGAAGTACAATTTTCTACATTGGACCAATTATCCGCCCGAATCACTAAACCACGTGAAACAAACCTAACTGGGTGTTGACGTTACACCAGCTAAGATGACTCGAGAAGAAAGTCTGTTTTACGCGTTTTGCCTTGTATAGACCGCAAAGACAGCGCCATCATATAGGTCCTCGGTAAGGTCATCGGGAAGAAACGAGGACACTGTCTGAGCATGCTCAAAAACCTATCTGCAATTCCTGAAATTGTGTAGGTTCTTACCTCCCCCGGTACGATAAAACTTAAGCAAACTCGTTTCACCCAGTTTAAGTTACCACCACTTCCAGCGGTTGTGAGGTACGGGGCAACGAAGATCGCTTAAGGTCAGAGTTGGAAATCAGAGAGCTGTGTCTTTAATTACCACTGAACCGAGGGAGCTAAGAAAAACACGCAGGGGCATGAAATGAACATGCATGTAGACACCACTGCAGAGCCAGTGTGACTAGCAAATCCTTTAAGGGCGGTCAAACCGACAGTCATTTCCAAGTGCAAACAAAACATCCACGTCTTTATTATACGCCACCCTGCCGACCCGACGGCTGCAACGGGTCGGTCCCCCTAGTCTTAAATATTCAAGCCATAGACATACAACCACCATAAATAAGAAAGGGGAGAGTAAGGAATTGACTGAGTCCCCTCCCCGTCCCCATCTCTTGTCCTCTGTTTTTTTCTCTCCCCTCTTCTTCTTTTTTTCCGCCTCGCGAAACCCCAAGAGGACAAGAAAAATATTCATCCGGCTCTCCCGGGCCGCCCCGGAGGACAGTGAGCGGCGCTCTGGCCCCAGGCTGGCCGAGTCGCAGTGGCGACGAAATCGGAAAAGGGTTTTCGTCGGTATGGGTCTAGGCTACTTGCTGATGGTCGGGGAGGGGAGACAGAGATCAAGCTCGTTTGGAGTTTTGTCGCCATGGTCAGCCAACTCGGGCCAAACATGTTACACGTATATATTCTCACTTCGAAGAGGACAGAATGCACGTCAATGTAATAACATTGTGAACCTTTGCGAACCTCAAGAAAACGAGACGATCCCGTCTGGGAACGGAGCCTGTTTCCAGAAATCCTCGGTCTAAGAATTTCCCCCAAGTAATCCTTAACCTGTATCAATACCCTGTATGGTACTTTTTTTTTAGTTTTGTCATAAAGCTGGTTACTGAACAGCACAAGGCTATTTTATTAAGTGTTTTCGAGGTGATGCGGGTTCCGTGGGTGGGGCTGTACCAGGGTCAGACTGTCTTATTCCGATCAACACGAAAACCGGCACCTACTTTAAACGAAGCCATTCACCTCATCCATGAAACCCACCTTCAGGGGTTGTAATTACTGTCACTAACACCGTCAATGTGGATACATGTTATTACCAATACTTATCAAAGAAGGTATCGTTTTGTAATTACTATAGGACAGACAATCAAACGATCGTCATGGCTTTTGTCGAAGTGAACGCATGTATCGCCAATGCCACTACTTAGCGCCGTCGACATTGACACCATTAGAAGCTGCATGGGCCCACTTCGAACGATCCGTTTTCGTCCAACCTGACCAGGCCTACTTAATGACGAGAATAGCCCTATGGTGACGACAGCGACGGTAACAAAAAGACAATGCTACAAGTGAAAGCCAAGATGATGGCCAAGATAACGAAAGGGCAAAATGACGGCGACGAAGGCATAATGTGATGATGAAAATCATGTTGATGGTGGGAATGGTTCAGTTTGGTGGTTGGCTGCGAGTAGCGCTATACTGCTGCTGCAGCTCCTAATAACGATAAATCACGATGGCAAGGACGACAAACGACGATGACAATCACGACGGCAAACGTTCCATATCACAGTGCACGTGGAAGGGGTTGCCCCAACACAATCAGACATTTTTTAAAGAAGCACCCAAGATCATTGACACATCGCCACCTCGTCTGCCAGGCGAGACGCAATAGAGACGGAGGCCGGATAGGAGAGGACACCATAGTGACGCTGACCACTCTATGTCCGTCATCTTAACGATCAGCCACATCCATTTACCACACCGATCAACAGTCGAGTCCAGTGCCGGTGAGGAGACGAAAGGGGGGGGGGGGAATAAAGCGAGCTTTGCAGCGATGATGACACCACGATTCATCTTCATTACAGGAACGTTTTCAGCAGGATTAAACTTAAAGGGGCATGCATGCACGAACCGTGCAACCCTAAGTCGAAATCAGATTTGGCTCGCTTCAAGTGTGCATGCAGAAATTGAGTGGGGTTGAACAGTTCCCTTCTATTTAACATCCCACCTATTTGTTTTCTCTCTGTTTTCTTCACCATGAATATTCTCCGAGTTCCGGGTGTGCACATGTCGTTTGAATTGTTGTCGGACAATTTTAAGACATTTCCACAATACCAGCTCCCAAAACACATTTCCGATAAAAATTCTAACTGAAGTCAAAAGTTATCTCCTAAAACGTCGCCTCCTAATATCTCCAGCCTTACCTTGGGACTGATAACACAAGTGGGAGATCATCAATGTTTGAAGGGTGATAAAATCAAGTGCATCCATCCAGATGTTCCTCAGGAGAACTGAAACAATGCAAGGCAAAAACTGTTGCTTGGCCAGTAAACAATTGCATGAAACTCTTTCGAGTAGTCTGTAAACATGTTTATACGCTAAACGTGTTTAAACTTGGATGATTGGCGTTCAGCCATTGGACATTGGTGTTTAGCAAGTGGACACAAAATGTTCAGCAGCTAAACATGTTTCAAAGTGATAGCAAGATCAAACCTTATTCATTGGGAAGCCATTTTCGATCTTGTTCCCTCTATCATATTCACTGTAGTTTGTTAAATGGGGTAGTGCCAGACTGCTTTGGGATCGAAGCCTCACTTTCACTTTTGGTGTTAAACGTGGCTGAAAACTTTAGATACATGTACAATAAGTCACAATTTTGAATCTCAAATTAACTTTCATTTCTTTGCTGTTATTTCTTCTCTCACGTTCCCAAAAAGAAAAGTAACCGCACTTTCGATGTAAGTTGGCTGACATACGAATACAGTCCATTGCTCAGCCCAGTTTCAGAGTGTAGTGGGCGAGTTGTCTGCGTTGACATTAAGCTTAGCCTCGACCCAGAAAACGGAGTTCTGCAACAACTAGTGCGGAAAGAGAAAAGGTTTAGCAGCCCAGATGACCCACGTCAGTACAAGGAGAACCGCAGAGACATTTTATTTAATTGTCGTTGAATGCATAATTTAACGACACTTTGTGGCACAAGGGAACGCGTTTGATAATTTTTCGTTTTGTTCAAATTGTCAGCTGATGATTAGGTTAATGATTTGAAACGTCAAATGACAGTTCAGAGTTAATTAGACTCAAATTCTGTTTGGCATCGCGAGTAGCTCCCAACAATGTGTAAAACGTAGATTTGAGGAATGTTGGTCTAAAATAGAACGTCACGCCCACGTGACCGTAAGAACTTCGCTTACACTATCCCAGTTGCGATGCGCAAAGTGAATGGACAAACCGCTAGCCTCGCGTTCAAAATGACGTAGGTCTTAATGGTTGATAAGACATACATAGTTAAGGGGCATTCTCAGCGTACAGCGAAGTCGAGTGAATTATCTCGAAATTATCAACTGAAAGCAAAGTACAACGACACTGCCTGATGAACGCATGGGCATGCATTAAAGATTCTTCTCCCAAAATTAAATTGATGACCTAGATGCGGGGGAGCAGAGTTTACTGGCCACTGTGAAACAGATGGGCAGTGTAAATGTAACAGGCATCGCCCGGGCTGATTAGGAGGGATTGCCGGCTGGTAGCTTCGCCAAACCTTTGGCACGAATTTGTCGTCCGCGGACTTTGATTCTGCAATTTTAAGAGTTGTCCGCTGACTGATGATGAACTGTAGGCCTGCCTAAACACACCGCGGGCCTCTTTTCCCCCACTCAGAAACGATTTTGTTCCTACCAGACACTCAAGAAATGGAGAGGCCCCGCAAACTAATTAGCTGGCAGGGGTCGAGGGAATTTATCAACGCGTAACTGCTGTTCGATGGGGTGTTCAGAATTCCTGTGGCAAATACTGTGCGATTTTTAAATGCATATTTCAAGGATTTGGTCAATTTATCAAATTACAAAGGGTGGTGATATACAGCACGTGTGTGCGACTGTTGAGGGACGCATCGACAGATGATTTGCGAGACTGCAACTGTGTACAACCAAAAAGCTGCCTTCGACCGAGTCGAACTGGGTCATCATGTAAAACATGACGGATATGCGCTTTGAGTTTTGCAGCGTGGGCGTTTCACAATAGTGCGCCTCCAAGAGTCTGCAACGCTTTGACCAATCACAATCCGCGAAAACTGTAGACCCAATGGAAATGGTCGACAAATTTCGCGCGTAGTGATTGGCCAACGCGTTGCAAACTCTTGGAGACGCACTATTGTGAATCGCCCGTATAATGTTTTGCGTGTTAGAGCATCCCAAAGAAAACGCACAATTTCTCCTGAATAACTCTTCGGTGAAACTTGTTTTAATTGACTGGCGTTTATGGCAGCGACGGGTCAAATAATGGAACAGATTTTGTTTCCAGTCTATGAGAACAAGATTTTATGAAAGTATATTAATTTAAAAATGAATGACTACCGGTTGTTAAATTTCTTTCTCTTGTTGTTGTTTTTGTTTATCATTTTTTTTGGTCTTTTTTTTTAGTTTCTCTTTTTTAATGAAATAAAAAGCGGTTGAAGATAGCAATTGTAACAAAATTGGGATTGGGTATGGTACACGTCTCGTAACCCATTTTTCCCCTCAGGACTGAAAGTGGAGAACTTATTGGGATGAATTTATGGACAGTATTAAGTAATTTATGAATCGGAATGGTCACTTAGAAAGAGATGAGATTCTATTAATAAATGTGATAAATTCATCCACGTCACGCCTGCCTTGTCGCATAATCCCCTGCCCCACTGATGGGTGAATGATCATCCTTCCCAAAATGTGTCAAATTAGAAGAGAAATCCACAGAGGGTGTTTTCTCCTCTACTCTCTGCTTTTCGTTTCCGTGACCAACATTCCCGGCACAGTTTTGCATCGTGCCGTGGAGATCGGAATACATTTCCCTCTCTGTGGTTCCCCACGCACACCCTTCTCTGTGCCCATTACCCCCATTAATCAACGAACACTTACAGCTCTACTTCAACCGAGATCCGATTTCTCGTGCTTTTCTCCTCCTCGAGCGATGCAGAGGATCAGCGCGCTCACCACTGGCCCTTCCCCGCACCGTCAACCGGTCACATATACATATATACAAGGCCTGCCTTAATTGGGTTACCGTGTTAGCGTGGAACGCCGAACCATTTATCACTTTAGATGAGGTGGGACGTGGAAGAGACGGATTCATCCCAAGGTGTTCGAGAACAAGATGTTCTCATGGACATGACGAGTGCGTTGTTCAGCACAGGGAAAGATACCATGCAAATTTCAATCAGTAAACTCTACCGAGACAAGGAAGAAACAACGTGAGATGTGAACTTGGATTTTCGTGACTCTCTCTCTCTTCATTGTTACACTGCACGGCCTGTTGAACAACTGTGGACATTTCATGAAAGTTCTTTCAGTGACGAGGTGTAATTGGACGTATACTCTGACTAGTTGTGATAATCAGATCACTGAGTAAATAGTTTTGAGCTAATTTTCAAACGTGTTGATGAAACGTGTACAAGGAAAACATGTCCAATCAGCACTCATCCCCACAATTCTATGACGCACGTATAGTGATTGTTTCATAACGTACAGCTAAAACGGCTTTTCTCCAAAAGGTGATTGTCCTAATAAAAAAAACCCCGAATCACAGGTGTCCTCTGTAATGCTTCAATGGAATGTAGAGAGTACCTGTTGTCAAAATGAAGCTTTCTGTCTTTATTTCTCCCCACTGACTCTCTGGGGTAGGTTTAATTATACTGAAGACTGCAACGACTCACAATGGAAGAAAGAAAAACTATGTACAGGTTAATTCCAAAATATACTTTAATTAATAATGATTAAACTCTTCAAAAATAACATACCATTATAACAAGGACCAAATTGGAGGGCGTATCCCTCAATGAGTTGATTATACTGATGCGTAATTTAAATAATTCTATCAACTTTCTTCCACTCTGAGATAACCATTATAAATGCTGCTGCACTTTTGGAAAATAGATTTTCAAATATTTACAAATGTGCAATAAACATGCAACATAGGTTACAAATATTTGATTAGTGAAACCAAACTTGTAGAATTCAACAAAATCATAAAATCAACAACCAATCTTTGCAAAGTCTTTGGTGGTGACAGAGTTACTAACTATGGTCCTTCTGAACTATTCATAAGATGAATTTGAATGTGACTGTAAATCTGAAATCATAAAACAAATGCTAGGAAATTCAACAAGGTTGAATTATGTTTGGCATGAATATTTATAGTGACATCACAAATTTGTATTCACAGGTGCATCTGCACAAAGTACGAACCAAAAGCCATGATGAGCTCCAAATGATGGATGGGCAGTGATGAGAGGTCCTCCTCCCAAGGGATAAACTGCTTCAAGGAGATTTTTTCCAGTCACAGCCCAAGTGTTACTTTTTGATGAACAAGAAACACCATTCATCGTTTGAAAGCAATGTATACTTTGTGACTTCAAGGGTGAAATAGTGCACAGACCCACTTGTGTTGGGCTCCAAGCCACAATACCCTGTGTTTTGTGCAACTACTTGTTACAACTTGACAAGTGTTATGGGTGGGTACAGATCAATCATGGGGCAAAGAAGTTCAAGGTGTAATGGATATTTACCTGAGTCCCAAGCAAAATGAAACAAGATGTTTAACCCCAACCTGACTTGAGCTCTCACTCCATCGAAACCCTCAATGTACAGATCCAAATGTGTGATTTAGACAAAAAACACCAGCGTCGTCTCACGAACAAATGTCAGACAATGTTTCACCAACATTAGATGTCAAACATAAATTTGTGCCTCTTTAAAGTGATCCAAGGAATAGTAAAATTCAAAGTTGTGCCTGGACGAAATGTTCATCACATGTACTTACATGTATCAACTTAGGCCTGTGAATTGTTTTATTGGATAAAAGAACGTAATTAAGGTAAATGTTTGTTAGGCACTCTACAAGCAGTGATTTAATTGAAAGCTATAAAACACAAGTTCCTTTTTTGGTATTTATCTATTTCATGGTTGAAATGCCACTTTACTAGTCAAGAAATAGTTGTAGAAGTAACTAGACGAGCAACCACAAATGACTTATCATCAAAACAGCTTACTGTTTGTCAATCAGAGGTGTAAAAAAAAAAAAATAAATAAATGAAAATATCCTCTGTGAACTGTATGGACACCGTTTAAGATATGACAGGAAACCATGAGCACGGACAAAGAGTACACAATGAATGACCGTGGTGATACCTAGAACATGGCATAAACCTGAACAAGAATGGTTATTCAAGGGGTAAGTTTCCTTTACCACAGGCAGCCATTATGTATCACAATGTCAGAAAGCTTTGGGGGGAAATTGATAAAAAAATGAATGAATTTAAAGCCAAACAACAATGCATTTGGGAAAACTATTTTTCACATTTTGTTCGCACGAACTGTGTGCATTCAGTTGTAATGCAAACATGCATGGTTGGGCAGTTTTTGTGGCCCACCACGATGTCACAGTGAGGGCACCCTGGGGGCGGCTCCAGGATTTGCCAAAGGGGAGGGCACAAACTCAAATGTTAGGGCCACGGCTGTAAAATCAGGGAGCTTGGGTAACTGGAAACAGAACTGTTTCTTTGTTTTTTTTGTCACATTTTTGTCACATTTATGAGGCTGAGTTCCTCCCTCTATTTTCTTCCCCTCTTCCTCCTTTTCTTCACTTCTTTATTGTTCGGTGAAAAGAGGGTAAGGCTGCGCCCCCTTGGATCCGCCCCTGGTACCCTTGTTGCTATTCGTAACTAGCACACTAGGCCAAAGAACTTGTGTCTCCACCAGGTGGTGCCCGTCAGTGAAGGGAGGGTGCTTAAAGTTTCTATATGGCAACACCACCCTACTGGGCTGACACACTGCTTGCGTTGAAAGGATGCGCACATAGGTTCTGGAGCATGCTTGACCAACTTCCGTTTAACTACAGACTTTGTGTGAGCCCTGGGTGACCACTTAAAACAGTCAACCCAGACAGTGATGGAGCTCAACGCTGCCACAGCAGAAAATGTCTATAAGAAAAAAGGGTCACACAGCGTAGGCTTGTGGTAAAAATGTTCAAGCCCTCTGCCAATCAACAGACCCGGTCACTTAAAGTTTGACAATGTTACTAATGCTGATTATCAGTAGAGTTATCTACCAAGCACATCATCTCAAGGTTGAGTGTAAACTCAAAAAATTCTGGCAGTAGGCATTGTAAAATGAATACGCAAGTAAAGACCAGAAAGAGATGCTGCCCGAGGTAGACTTGCACAATGAGACTCCATGAGAATTCCACTTACCATTTCAGTGTTGGACCAACTGAGTTGTGCATGACAGACCGAGTAAAAACTACACAGTTTTTGTCTGTTGTTAGAGAAACTGGCTTTGGAAGCAGAACCTATGGAATATCATTTCCAAACATGCGACCATATGTATTGATTTGAGTTAAAACCATTACACAAATTTTCATTGTAACTGGATTTGAACCCCAAACCTGTGGAATGTCATTCCAGCATTCAACCAAGTGATTTGTACGGGCATGGGTTTAAACTAATGAGGAATTTCTTCACTGGAACTAGGTTGGAACCAGGTTCTGAACTGTGACGAACTCAGCCAGAACCGGATTGGAGTCCAAAAACCACTATTCCACAGACACTGACATCGCTGAGTTAACAACACTGCCAGAATCCCGCTTAAAGGTTGGCTGTCATCAGTAGTCAAAGACAAACTCGTCTGGGTGGTAGAGCCTGTAGACGTACGTACCAATCAGGACGCAGAGCTGGACCAGCCGGGACACGCCTACCTTCTGCACCAGGCCCTTGGTGGCCACCTCCATGATGGGCCCGCTGGCCGTGTAGGAGAGGGGCTTGGTGGACACCTCTATGTTGTAGACCACAAGCTGGGTGTAGACAAAGATCAGGGCCAGCTTGACCATGCAGGGGGAGTGCCAGGCAGAAGGGGGCATCTCATCACTGGAATCATCATAGTCATCTGACTGTGTGAGTGCGAAACAAACGGGAAGAAGATAAGTGGCCCCCCAAAAAACTGGACCAATATGTTGTCAGCCAAGCATAAGGAATCGATTAATAGCAGACAATTAAGAAACTATTGCCCAGGCCGATACACATAAAGGGGGAATCAAGCAAAGTTTGATGGGGACTCTCAAATATTCCCACAATTACTTCAGTCCTCAAAATAGCGGTTACAAACTATGGGTGTGACGCCGCAACCATACACAAAGTGTGCACGTAATACAAAATAATGTTGGATGAGTGATGAAGACCAGTGATGCTTGATGATTGAAGGTGGGGTTAGACTCTGTTCCAGTCTTACTGTTCCCGAGTGCTTCTCTCATGCAAACCGTGGAAAAGGTCTCAACGGTGGGAAAAGGTATACAGAATGAGCCACATGTTTATATTGGCAAATTTGACTGTAAATCGAAACCAAGCCGCAGTGAACATTTCCTGAAAGTGGTGATAGGAAGCCTTGATACCAATGGATATTTTGTGGTTGTGTTCATTCCAGAATGAGGTGTACATATGTGCATGTCATAATGCAGACATGGATCCGGGGAGGAAGAGGGATTTAGGGGTCAAACCCCCCTGCTCTGAGACCCCCCCAAAAAAAAAGAAAAAGAAAAAAGGGGGGATGGAGAAAAGAATGAAAATCACTGTATGTTCAGCATTATTTCGGCTTGTCCACAAAAATGAGAAATTAAAAAATCTCCGGCCTGAACCCTCCCCCCTCCCCGAAACATTTCTGAATCTGCCCCTGTAATGGGCATTCTGTCATATGCTAAATATTGTCCCAGGAATCCAGAGACGGGGAGGAGTTGAAATTCACAATTGTCTGCAAGAGGTAGTTGGTCGAGGAAGAGAGGGGCACTTTTCTAACGGTTCGCATCAATGTTTCTATCAAGGTCCTATCTGGTTGTACAGTGACATGTATGTTACTTTTAAACCTTTGGGCAATAACTCAACAATATGATAGATAAATATATTCCTTGAGCGAATTGTATCCTGCTAGGAAGGTGTGATGATGCACAGAATGGGGTTCATCTGTTTAGTACATACTGTCACCTACACACTTATAACCAGATGCTTGTTGTTGGAGTGGTCACATGCGTACTGTTGAAAGTGGTCATCAACCCCACTGCATTACTGCAATAAAAACATTTCCAGCTGACATGTACTTTCACTCACAAACTGACAAATAAATCCGTATAACTTCATGGTTTCCAACATAACATGGTCTGTGGTATGCAGGGACTGAATTAAATATTGGCATATGCATATCCCATTTAGACTGCAGCTTCAACAAACTTTTGCTAAATCCATTTCCTTTTCCTCAGGAAAATATATGTTTCTTTTAGTTAAGATGATTCAGGGATGAAGAAAAGAGTGCGTTCTGTTGTTTTTTTTCCTGGCTCGTATGAATCTTCTGGACAGTTAACTGATGTAGGATCTGGTTAAAGTAGTTTCTGCTCTCTTCTTTCAAATTTCCTTTATCTGAAAACACACCTGTTTAATTTACTTTGACATAAAAATTGTGGATACAATATAATTTGTGTAGAACACCAGTCCAAAAACCAAAAGAATACACTGCACATCGCAGTGAAACAAAATGACATGAAAGAAAACAATCTAAACCTAGACAAACGCAACAAAAATGAACTGAAATAAACCAACAAGAAATGCAGCAAAATGAAATGGAATGAACCAAAGCGAAACAAGATGAAACAAAGTGAAAACAAATTTAACCTCACCTTGCCCAGGCCATTAACCTGATCTACTGATGAGCAAAAAAAAAAACCAATTTGATATTTCTACTTGAATTTACTACAAATGATTTCACATGGACTACAAAACACCACTTTTGTGTATTTGCAGGGCACCAGCATATCCTTACATTGTCTATTTGTTTTTCAAATGTCTGTGGTTGGCACAGTGTATACAGGCCTTCCGAAGAAGCAAAAGCTTTGCCTCAAGACACAAACTGGACAACTGAATAAGCCATTCCCAACGGTATCCAAACAACTCACTTAGTGTTTAAACTTAGGATACTATTTCTCAAATTGGTTTGGATAGCATTGATGATGTTATCATTCTGCTGCATTTTTTTCTCTTGGTTGTATTCCTGGAGAAAAAAAATGAACGTAAAACTTCACAAGCATTCGCTGGTGAATTTAGCATTATCCTCGGAAACAGATGTGGCATTTTATTGATGAATCATCAACACAGGTGTACATTGACTCTCGACAATTATCTTTGGGAATAAAAGCTCAAAAAAAGAAGAAAATGACAAACTAAAAGCACAACCGAAACAAAAATTTGAAAGGAGTAGAGGCAGATACATGGCGATAGAATTTGAAATACGTGTAGCTGTTTAGCATACACTCTGTGTGTTCCTTGCATGTGGTATTTCTTGACGAAATAAGTTTAGGCTGAAGACTCGAAAAGTCAGATTTTGAAGAAAAAGGTGTTAATTAAAATTTGTTGAAATATGTTGAAAATGAAAACTTTCTGGAGAGCTGGAAAAACAGCCAAAGAGATTTCATAAGAAATAACTCAGCCAGTTTACTCACTTAATGAGCGCCATCTTATTTGTGAAAGAGAGGTGTCACAGTGATTGTGTGACAGTGACAATACACTGGGCGCTTGCTGTCAAAACACTGTAATTACGAGGGGCAAATGTTCATGAAGATGGACAGTTTGGTATCCTCTTGGTTCAAAGGAGCCTCCAAAGATGGGCAAACGACTTGGTCAAAAGAAACTTCCAACTTTGGATATTTCAATCACTCAAAAGAAATGTCCAAAGTTGAGCATTAGAATCTTCCAAACTGGACATCTGATTTGGTAAAAAAAAATCTCATGGTTTGACATTTGACATAGTAAAAGGAAACTTCCTAAGTTAGACATATGACTTGGTCAAAAGAAACTTGCGAACTTGGACATTTCACTTAGTCAACAGAAACTTCCAAAGTTGGACATCTGATTTGGTCAAAAGGAACTTCCATTACGGTCCAACATTGATAATAATGAACAGTGGTGAAAAACAAAGAGAAAAAAAACACCCCCCCAAAACAACAGACATCCTGTCTTCTTTAGTCAACAAAAGCGTTTCATCAACGCTTGAATTACCACACCAGGTCAAGCAGTCTGGTGGGACTTCCTAGCCCCTTCCTTTTTGGGCTGGATAACTGTGAATCTGTAAACAAGATGACTAAACAAGTCTACTCCCAAGTACATGTATGTTTATCAAAGCCCCCAGCTTCACCATGTGTACATTTGCCACACTGTGTATGATGGTATAAAAGCCTCCCTTGTTGTCGCGGAATTCCTCTGTCAAATCTCTACAGGACCAATGGGTCAACCACCTCCTGTAGTGCAATGGTTATTCAACAAATGATTGGATAAAAAAATAAAAACCTTTCATGAAAATCAGTTAAGAAAAAAATTATACTTGTTCAACCGTATGTGGACATAAGTTCACTGAACTAGAGTGACTCTAGTGTGCTGTCAAAAGGTTACCGCAAAAGACATCTAAATCACATTACTTTGGCGGAAACTCAATTGCCAGCGAACATGACCATTAGGTTCTCTTAAATTATTGGTAGTGGCAATGCATTATCACGAGTCTTTGTGTCTATCAATGGTTGGAAATTTGTCTGTCTGCTGATATCCCCCCCCCTCCGATTTCTTCATAAATCTTAGAAGTGGGAATGGCCGCACGGATTGCGGAATGAGCTGGAGTGAAGTTAAACAGCGATTAGTGTCGGTGAACACGAATCGATGGAGGTATCTCTTTACAGCTTGACGATGACAATATACCAAGCCGCGAGAAGTGAAACTACTCCTCTGAGTGCCTGTACCAAAATGAGTGGCACTGAAAAACATTTCAGCTTCCCCAGTGTCAGTCTTTTGAAACTGTAGGTTAGTGACCGACTGACCGACCGCTGGCTGGGAAAAGGTGGCACGAATCAAGTCAATAATGCAAGTTCTAATATGAATTTTACGATAACAATGCTGGTGAGACGAAACACACAATATATTATCTGTTGCCAGCTGTTGTTTCAATTTACTGAAACCAGTCAAGTCCAGAATTTTCCAGCACCCCCTTCCTAACAGATATTATCTACATATATTTCTACTGTATATCCTTTATTTGCTACAATGACGATAATTGTGAGGATAATTTTTTTATTACCGTACTCCAGGGACATACAATGCTACATATCATAAGTCTTGATCGTCAGAAGTATCAATATTGATGGGTCCATCTCAAGTCTATGGAGACTGCATGTTGCTGATACAAATGCTAGTCCCACGTTGCAGTCTGGGCAGCACCAGACTAGGCTTACAACAACCTGGTCCATCCCAACAAATGCCATGATGCTCCACTTGCTGAGATAACCAAGAGTAGTGGTGACTTGGCCCAAGGGAGAGGCCACCATTTTCTTCGCCCGTTCACTGACACAGACCTAATTCTCTCACACCGAATTCTTGAAGCCCTGGCAAGAAGCACAAGAAGCATGCTTCCTACTGTAACATTTGGGGCATCATCATTCCACAGACTGGCTTCCGCCCACAGGTGCAGAAAAGTCCATTGCACGGAACCAAACTGAATTTGAGGTCCCTCAACTTGTTTGCTCAAGTGGGGAGGGGGGTTGTTGGGACTTGTTTCACTGATGGTAGAAACAGCCTTGTTTTGTTGTCTCCTGTGGAATATACAGTCATTTGCAAAAGTTTAAGACCACCTGGAATTTTATTGGTATTTCTGTCACTGGGCCTGCATTACATTGTCTCATTGAATAATTACTTAACATGTTTTTACAGTGGTGCATAACATCAGTGTGGTGCTATATACCCATTGGAATGAAATTTTTAGCAAAGGCAGGTCTTGTATGACACTTTGTCTGTAAGGCAGCATGGGTAAAAAAAAAGCCAGTCTAAGTAATCAAAAATAAGGGAGGACACACTAAATATTAGACTGTTT